ATTGTCGTATCACCATGAGACTCGTGATACCTCAAAATTAGAAGATTTAGAGAATTATTAGCTACAAAATTGTTAGGATTATCCGAAAATACAATAAAACCTTATCAAAATTTTCAACGGAGTCAACGTAATATCGCCGTTCGGAAAAATAATTCTGATATAAGTATTAGACTATATGCAAATTATGTTATTCAGATAAAAGACAAACTGACCGATCAAACGCACGAAGGAATTTAAAAAAGACTAAACAACTTTTTATCCAAATTGTCCAGAACTCAACTTTGTACAGAATATTTTAAAATTTTACATTCAAAATTATTTTTTTATTATTTTTATTACAATTTAATAGTTTTATTACACTCTGCAGAATATCTTTTCAAATGCTTACGAAGATCGTTCATAAGCAGTCAAATAAGGATCATATAGATGACGCGGCAGTCAACGTGTTAATCGCACTTTCGAATCGAATAACATTACAGGATATAATAATTATGTGATAATAATAATATCGCGTGAGAAAAACGAAATATAGATGCTACGTTTTCAGAGAAAGATACTCAATGTACGATAATTCGATTCACTCGTACAATACACGGCGCAGAGCGACTGTAATATATCAGTGACATTTTACGTAGAGCGAGTCTTTAATCGGCCGTAGTAACGAAAGGGTTAATTTCGATGAATTTATTTCTCGTGAGCGGATATTTTCGATTGATAAGTGACCCAATGGTTGAATTCGAGTTGGTCGAAGGATGATACAGATATTCGTACATTTTGTAAAAAAGGGAGGATGAGGATGGATGAAAGCAATTGTGAGAGGATTTACGAAAAGTTAACCCTTTGCACTCAACCCTTTCACGCGATTTTTCTCCCTTCTTCCGTTCGTTTCGAATTTCTTAGCTAATTTAAAATGATTTCAAGCGCGAATCAACGTGTAAAATTTTTGTATTTTAATATTTTGTGTTGAATGAAAAAAAATTTGTTGTCACCTTCTTATACTATCGCTATTTTCTCTCCATCGTCAATTTCTTGTAATAAGGAATTATAATATTTTTAATATAATTTTAATATAATAATTTGTTAATATATATTATATTTTATAATAATTTGGTTATTTAATAACGAAAAAACTCATCTTCGAATTAATTTCATTACCGTATTCAATGCTTCCAAAATTCAAAAAAATTTTGAAAAAATAATATTTCTATTGGCACTGACCGTCAAATATTTCGGACTAATGTCGAAAATGTGGATAGTATATTATTCTACGCTTCACAAGATCATATGTAGAGAGCTTAGGAATCTATTCTACATGAAGCGATATCGCATGATAGCTGAGAGTCAGCACTGGGGTGCAAAGGGTTAATAAATCGATGAAATGAAACCTGGAAACTTTGAAAACTCGACTTTTCTTGCGCCATTTTTCCACACTGTTCCACTGCTAGGATAAAAACGTTTTCAAAGTATTATCATACCCTCCCCCCTTCTCACCTGGTGCACGCTGTCCTTCAAACCGAGCCACTGCTTGTAGCTGATGGCGATCCCGCTATGCCTCCATTTGTCGTATTTGCTCCTCTGCTCGGGGTCACAGAGAACCTCCTTCGCATGCTATTGCAAAAAAAAAAAAAAAAGAAATCGTATTAACGTTCTCATCGATCAAACTCTTTCAATTTAAAATCCAATCGATAAATTGACAATATTCGTATATAAAGATTTTCGAAATTTTCGATTTCAGATTTCGAAGTGATAAAGAGAAGGGAGAAACGAACCTTCAATTGTTGGAATTTTCGTTCAGCCTCCTTGTCCCCTTCGTTCTTGTCGGGATGATATTGGAGAGCCAGCAGCTTGTACTCCGCCGTGATCTGTTCCACCTGGTGGACAAATTTTTTAACACCGTTTATCGAGAAGAAAAAGAATCGCAGAGAAATTTAATTCCATCCGATTCGCTGTATCTCTTAAACGAGACAATAAAACTCTTAATAATTCTGAATTAAGATTTGTTTATTTATTTATTTATTTTTATTCATTTGTACTGTGAGGATGCGGTGATCGATTGTCCGTGAAACATTTTTAAGCAGGGAGGTGAGAAAAAGGTTGGGAAACACTGGCACAAAGAAGACCTAACAAAGCTTAGAAAATTGGATGTTGCTTTAGATCCTGTTTAATGATCGAACGAATGAGGAGGGACTGTTCACCGTTCGATTTTCTGGAGACGACTGGACGGATATTTGCCGGCCAATTTAACGAAATTTGCCTAATGGGGGTTAGAGTTAATGAGATCATCGTCGCTCCGTCGGTAAACAGGCCAACGCTCGTTAACCGTTGGGTTTTATTTTAAACCGGCGCCGTTTATTTTTAGTGAGAAAGCATCGTTGAACGTTGATATAATTCCTTGGCGAGTCAACCGTCACTTTTACTCATAGGCAAGAGAATAGATTCTTTACTCGTATAAATACTCCGTCCGCGATACGCAAAATTGCTGATTAATTTAAATAGATTTTATGGAAGACTATTTCGATTAGATGATTTCATTCTCATTTCCACGGAGTATGAACGTGTATGTATGAAACATAGTCGTATTGTCGATGAAAATCGACGTATTTTTTATTTTTATTTTTTTTTTTTTTTTTTTTGTTAAACGAATTGGCAATCCCAATGGTCGAGAATTAATCGAGAAGTTGGAGACCAAAGCGCTAATTGAACTTGTGCTCAACGGTGATGCAATTATTCTCCGTTGACGCGTCCCTCCCGACAGCGAACCTAATTAACTCGGCATAACTTTCGAAAGTATATTAAACGCATAAGTAATATCTCGTTAAACACTATGGGATCCTATCAACTTTAAACCTCGACCGATATTAAAAATAATTTCACGTGTAGAGTCAAAATTAGTGAAATTCGATTGTTAGTTTTCTAAAATTTTTCTTTTTTTTTTTTTTTTTTTTTTTTTGATTTTGAAAATCGTAAGGGTAGGATTCAACGTTCAGGTTGGAAAAAACAAACGGAAATTTCGGCTTGGGATAGGCTTCGTGGAAAGTTTCAAGGACGGGGAATTGGAAAATTGTTTGGGAAAAATTTTCTCGAGCGAAAAATTTAAAAACAACCAACGTTGCCAACGCGAGAATACGTTGAGTGTGAATAATTTAAGAAATCAAAAATATTTAATCGAACGGAAAGTTAACGTTAAACGAACTATTGCATCACACCATATTCTAAAATTGGAAGGTAAATAAATAAAGCGAGATTCTATTTGTAATCGATGACATACGATCATTCACGGGTCAATATTTTAACTTCTCACAAAAGTTTCCATCCCATCGTTGGAATGCAATATCAAAAAGAACTTGCATCATCCAGAGCTAACATCTGACAAGGAAAGAAAGAAAAAAAATCCAAACATCTAAAAAAACTTAAACAAAATTGCATAATAATAACGTGAACATAGAAAAAAAAAAAAAGAAAAAAACGAATCAAGAATTCCTCGAAGAAAAATAATTGATTTTAAAGTTTCAAATAAAATTATTTTAACTTAGAAATATCTTATCCTATTATACTTAAAAATAATCAAAGAATAATACTATTCTTGAATCGACTATTCGAATTTATTCAAAGACCAGCCAACCGTATATAAGCGCGAAAAAAAAGTTACATTCGATGCAATTAACCGACTTTACTGGGAAACTTACCGTCGAGGACTCGTCGCACGACAGCAGAGCATAGTAATCCTCTTCCTCGCTAGGCTTATAGTTGATGGCGTCCTCGACGCTCATTTTCTCTCGCTGAATCCTTCCGTTTCTTTTTTCTCTCTCTTTTTTCTCTTTCTCTCTCTCTCTCTTTCTCTTCCTTTCCTCGATTCCTCTCCAACCGAAACCGAAGATATCGGGACGATGAAAAAAGTCGAAGCGAACGAAAAATCGAGACAAACTCTTCGTTCACTCGATGATCGATTCGAGCACAACGTGGATCGTGACACACGTTTGTGATTACAGAGACAGTGATATTTTACGATGATTTCGAAGGATCGCTCGACCCGTCACCTGTTGCCGTGTCGCGCGTCGGACACTCGAGTGAGCCGAACGAGGAAGAACAGTG